GTTGCCGGCCTACCACTGCAGCGAGTCAGTCATGGTGGGGATATGCAGTAGCGGGGAAAAAACCAATCTGATGTGCTGATCTCCTGTCACCCTGGTAAAGTGGCCTGAAACGTGGCAGAAAATCTTCTTCAAGTCTAGCTTTTTTTTTTCCCCCGGTCACTGGCTTGCTATGATCAGGGCATCTCCTCAAATCTCCTCACCTTGGACAGCTAGGAATAAAACAAATAATGCTAAGTTCATCAATGTTGTCTACATTTGGGCATTATAAACTAAAGTTATTGTAAACAGTTTACAAAACATTAAAATCAAAATGACCCACCTGTTGCTCTGGAGATGTAATGAAGATGCTTAATGCGAGGAGCCAACATGCAGGCAATGACTGGGATAGACTCCGTCACACTTCATTAGCCTTTGCCAGTGGTTGAAGTACCGGAATCAGCTGTTCAATTACTTCCCACTGTGATGCTGTCATAGCAAGTGTCTTCTGGACATTTGGCTCGGTGACGTTTTCGTCACCAAGGACAGACTGTGCCGCAATCCTCTGCTCAAACAGCCGCTGGAGGATTACGACAGTGGATTTCCAACAAACTGGACAATCAATCTGGAGTTTTTTTGGATTTAATTCCCAGTTGTTCCTGCCTTTTCTTCAGAACACAGGCTGCAACTGATGTCGAAATGTCGAAAGTGGCTGACAACTCTCTGTGCTGCATCAAGCGCTTTCTCAACATAAGGTGAATTTAATCCACCTTTTATTGCCAGCTGCAGAGCGTGCACAGTGCAACGCAGATCGTTTGGAAACATTTAGCAGATGATTTCTTCTTGCGTCAAATTCGGCCTCTTCCTCAACTCTACGTCTCTGAAGCTCCTCTGTCTGAAAGTCCACTTGCTTCTGTTTGCGTCCAATCGGGTTCTCTCTAATCCTCAAGAGATCTGACCGTTCAACTTTGTGAGCTTCTGATGAATTTTTAAATGTGTTTGCTCTTTGTTGAGAAGTGTTTGCGTGCACTTTGAATCTTTTATGTCGTCCGTAAGCACTTTGACCTGGTTTCACTTGATCCTTCAGAAACTGATTCTCTTGCTGGGACTTCTGCAGGACTGTCTGTGTTTCAACAACTTCTTTCTGAAGATTCATTGTAGAATTTTTCAGTGATTGTTTTTCTTTCTGCAGGATTGCTTTGTCTGTCTGAGCATTTCAAAATTTCTCCTGGAGGATTTGGTATTTCAAATTTTGTTTTGACAACTTCCTCTCAGTTTCACTCAAAGCCTTTTTTAGTCCCGTGACTTCCTTTCACAGGCTCAAATTTTCTTCATCTTTGTGCTTTGTTCACTTCAATGACGATTCTTCATTTTGGCGATTTCTTTTCGCCTGTTTTTTGTGCAACTCTATGTTGTCTCTTAAGTTCCTCTTTCTGAGCATCGATTTGCTTTTGTTTTGCATCCAATGCAATCTTAAGATTGCTAATTGTGTTCTCTAGTTCTCAAGAGATCCGACAGCTTTTTAACCCTTGTATGTAGAAATGGGGTCCAACCGACCCCACACATGTAAAACTTATATCATTTGCCATAGTCCTCTACGTTTGCCTCAGTCCTCGCACGCACAAGGGTTAAGCTCGACTTTATAGGCCTCTGATTCATCTCTTGCTGATTAAAGAATTTCTTTTCTGCAAGAGTTTGTTCCATGTTTTTTTAATTGACCTTCTAGATCCTGAACTCTAGTTCCACTTTGCTGAAGTTTGGTCAAAATCCCTTTAAATTAGTTAGAAAGTTTAAAATATTTTACCTCTAGCAGTTTCATTTGCTTCTGCAGGGATAGGTTCTCTAGTTTTAAGTCTATTTCATTATGTTGATCTCTCCCTGGAAAGATAATTTTCTCTTGGCTTTTCCTTTTGCTGTGTGGTTTGCTGTGTCTCTGCCATTTTCATTCTGATTATTTATGACTTTCTTATTGGATCGGTAATCATTGTAAGTTCAACTTTCTGAGCTTCCAATGAATTTTTAAATGCGTTTGCTGTTTGCTGAGAAATGTTTGTGTGCACTTTGAATCTTTTTTGTAGTCTATAAGCACTTTGACCTGTTTTCCTGCGACCAATGCTCGTTCTCTGAACTTCTTCAGTCTTACTACTTTGTCAGACAGGTCCTGCCTCTGAAGTTTCAACCATTAGAGCCGTCATCTTTGACTCGTTTCTTCTGCAGATAGGAATTTGCCAGTTGACTTCATAGTTCAATTTCATCACATTGAATCCTCTCTTCAGCTCTGGAGATGGGCTTTTCTTTTTCTTTTATCCTCTTGTTGTGTTGATGGCTTGTCTTGGGATATTGTTCACTTTGAACTTTCCTGAATCTCTTATCGGTCCAGGAATAACGCGGCTTAATTCACTCAGTCAATTTGCTTGACCTGCTGCACTTGATTTTTCAGGCGTGTCAACAATGTCTTAAGTTTCGCTGTGGAATTTTCCAGTGATTGTTTTTCTTTCTCCAGGATTGCTTTGTCTGTCTGAGCATTTTAAAATTTCTCCTGGCGAATTTGCTACTGCCAATGTTGTTTTGACAAGTTCCTCTCAAAATCATGCAAAGAATTGTTTATTAACTTGGCTTCCTTTCTTAGACTCAAACTCTCTCAGTCTTTGTGTTTTATTTGTTTCATCACAGTTTCTTTATTTTGATCAGTTCTTCTCACCTCTGGTTCAGCCTCTCCCTAATCTCTGCGTTGTCTCTGAATCTCCTCTGTCTTAGCATCCACTTGCTTTCGTTTTGCATCCGATGCGATCTTTTGGTTACTAATTGTTGTCTTTCCAAATGAAGTGATTTGAAGAGGCAGCAGATAAACAATGTTTGGGGGGTTCCTTCATAGCATCCTCAGAATTTGGTTTGGTATTTTTTGACTGACAAACTGCCGAAAGTTTTTTTTCTCCATTAATATGAATTTTTCCAACTCATTTTTCTTTCTCTTTCAGTTTTGTGGACAATCTGTGGTTCTCAGTGCGATACATTCTGAGTTTATAATTTTTCGTGTCGTCATCTGGGACAATTATAATATCAACTTTCTCTTCATGTAGCCATAACTTTTCCACCTTAGAATGTTTCTTTAACCATTTCAAATTTCTGCTCATTCTCGGAGTCTCAGAACTTCCTTAGATAGTTCTGTAATCTTACAATCCTGTTTGCAAATTAAATCAACCAGTATTTCAATTTTTCTCTCATTGAAGCAAAGTGGTTCTGTTGCTCTTCTGTTTCGTATATTGTCTTTTTCAAATTTTCTCGTATTTTCCTTGCTGCTCTGAATCGTGTCAGCCAGCTCTTGACCTGCTGCACTTGATTCTTAGAAAAATGATTCTCTTGCTGGGACTTCTGCAGGACTGTCTGTGTTTCAACAACTTCTTTCTGAAGATTCATTGCAGAATGATTCTTCATTGCCATTGATGACTTCCTTTCACAGGCTCAAATTTTCTTCATCTTTGTGCTTTGTTCGCTTCAGTTATGATTCTTTTTGGCGATTTCTTTTCGCCTCTAGTTCTGTTTCTTGTGCAACTCTACGTTGTCTCTTAAGTTCCTCTTTCTGAGCATCGATTTGCTTTTTGTTTTGCATCCAATGCGATCTTACGATTGCTAATTGTGTTCTCTAGTTCTCAAGAGATCTGACAGCTTTTTAACCCTTGTATGAAGAAATGGGGTCCAATGAACCCCACATATGTAAAACTTATATCATTTGCCATAGTCCTCTACGTTTGCCTCCGTCCTCGCACGCACAAGGGTTAAGCTCGACTTCATTTGCCTCTGATTCATCTCTAAATGTGCTTACTTTTTGCTGTGACATGTCTAGTTGTATTTTCAATCTTTGGTTGTCATCTGTGAGCTCTTTGGCATGTTTTTCAGGGTCCAGCACTCGTTTTGTCAGACAGATCCCGCCTCTGTACAATTAGTCATTAAAGAATTTCTTTTCTGCAAGAGTTCATTCCATGTTTTTTAACTGACCTAATAGATCCTGAACTCTAGTTCCACTTTGCTGAAGTTTGGTCGAAATCCCTTTAAATCAGTTAGAAAGTTTAAAATATTTTACCTCTCGCAGTTTCATTTGCTTCTGCAGGGATAGTTTCTCTAGTTTTAAGTCTATTTCATTATGTTGATCTCTCCCTGGAAAAATAATTTTCTCTTGGCTTTTCCTTTTGCTGTGTGGTTTGCTGTGTCTCTGCCATTTTCATTCTGATTATTTATGACTTTCTTATTGGATCGGTAATCATTGTTGTAAGTTCAACTTTCTGAGCTTCTGATGAATTTTTAAATGCGTTTGCCTGCACTTTGAATCTTTTCTCTTCCTGAGCATCAATTTGCTTTTGTTTTGCATCCGATGCCATCTTAAGATTGCTAATTGTGTCCTCTCTAGTTCTCAAGAGATCTGATAGCTTTTTAAGCTCGACTTTATGGGCATCTGATTCATCTCTAAATGTGCTTCCTTTTTGCCGAGACGTGTCTAGTTGCATTTTCAATCTTTGGTTGTCATCCGTGAGCTCTTTGACCTGTTTTTCAGCGTCCAGCCCTCGTTTTGTCAAACAGGTCCTGCCTCCGTGAAGTTTCACCATTAGAGCCGTCATCTTTGACTCGTTTCTTCGGCAGATAGGAATTTGCCCGTTGACTTCGTAGTTCAATTTCATCACGTTGAATCCTCTCTTCAGCTCTGGAGATGGGTTTTTCTTTTTCTTTATCCTCGTGTTGTGTTGATGGCTTGTCTTGTTCACTTTGAATTTTTCTGAATTTCTTAAATCTATTTTTAAATCCACTGCCAGTTTAATGGGCACAGCGTACACAGGTGCAGCAAGAGCAGACACATTGCTCAAGAGCACTTTCATGCACTCAAAAGCATGTTAACAATCCGATAGTCAAATAAATGAAACGTTCAGCTCCGTGAGAGAAGAATTATTGAATTCAACCTTTCATCTCTGGTACAAATATATGTTCTGGGTGATCTGATATTTTGAGCTTGATTGTATTTGTACATTTAAACATGGTATTGCAGTTGAGTGTTTAACTGATCCTAATATGAGGTAAAACCTCACCATGCCTGGTGTTTCCAACAAACGTGGAAACGGCCAATATTTGCTGCAGTGGGATTGTCCCATTTGATTGGATCTGTGCTCCTCGATGCATTGCAGCTTCCCGCATGTGTTGGGCAACCTGACCTGCGAGCCAGATATTATTTTTCAGCCATTTAGTCAATTGAATGGCGCGCTCTGGACTGATCGTCGGTTCTGTGGGGAAAGAAATTGTAAAGAAATTAAAACCAACAATGTAAGGTCACTCACAGAATAAGGGCTGCCTACAATAAAAGGGTTTCGAAACAAGTCTATAAGCCTAGTATGCAAAATTAATCTTTTTGGTTCAACATTCAAGTCCCTTGCTTCTTCATCAACTAAAAGAAGCTAGTCCTACCTCTCTTTATCTTGTAAAAGAGTTCAGTCCTTTAACTGGAACAATGCTTATTTGGAGAGCCCCTGGACCTTCTTGCGGTAGCAGCGGCCTTATGCGTGGCCATGGCTGATGGTGGCGTTTCCGTTGCTCGTTGTTGGCACCCTCCGTTCATCTACCCGCTCTGAGCAGATGGGTTCTCACTGTAGGAGGGGCTAAATAATCCTTAAAGGTTGGGATCTCTTCTTTTTTATCATTTCTCTTCCATATTTCTTATTTTTACCTTCAGTTTTCATCTTTCTTTCTGTGGAGTTAACCATCAGTTGTGTCCTGTAGATAGTATGAATCTTACAGTTTGTGTGGATCTTAAGTATAAACAAATTTATCTCATAACGACCACCCCATACGGACTTGAATATAAACAGGTGTATCTACTAACTACTTAAATATAAACAAGTGTATCTACTAACTACTCATATGAACTTTAAATATAAATAAATTTAGCTAATATAATTTACTACTGGGTAATACAAAGTTGGAAGTATAATACTGTTACACATATTTTAGGACTTCTTACTGGAGAAATTTTACTTAGGTGAGGACTGTGCATTGCTGTCGATGTTCTTACCAAGAGGAAAATGTCACAAAAAACCAAAAAGACAGTCGGCTAAACTCTTCCTTAACATCACGACTCTGGAAAGTTAATTTATTGTCCACAGATTTACTGATAATGAAGAAGTGTGAAACTAAAACACACAGAAGGTATACATAACTTTTTCAGCCTCTCTCAGAAACATGTGCAAATAACCTTAATGTACATGAATGAAATAATGTTCCACATGAATTATCAAGCCTATAATACATAATGACTTTCAATATATGAGCATTAACTAATTTATGCATTGCAGCAGCTCATCATAATGTAATAACAAAGGTAGTACGAACTTGCAATAAACATTCAAAAATACTTGGCATCAAACCTAACAAACCAGAAATTATGTGAAAATAATGACATACAATAATATATTAAAGATAACATACCCACAATGCTACATTCAGAGCAAAGACACATGGACAATACTTGAAATCTGACTTTCACATGTAGCTTTCTTGTTGAAGTCACATGACACGTAGCTGGGCTGTATCTCTTAAAGGGACAGACACCACATTCAGATAAACCCACTAAAAAACTCAACAACACAGCTCCATTAGGTGTGAAACAAGTATTCAGACCATGAGTGGTCTTTCTTGAATGGATATGTGCTGGTTTTCGTCAAGGCTTATAACCAAAGTTTGTCTGTCAAGTTTCCCGTTTTAGCCGGGAAATTAACATATTTAACCAGTTTCCCACCATCCTCCCGCATTAGTATTATCCTGTAAATGTCCCGTATTGTAAAGTAGTGTTTTTAAAAAGAGCATTCCTTTGTCTCTCCAAGCTGAATTGTAGCCTGGATGACATTTCTCGCGAGGTTAATGCTGGCAAACTAGAAAAGATAAGTCAGAGGTGAATGAACGAGACGGAAGGCATTTCCTGCCAAAAAAAAAAGCATATAGACTTCTTGTAAATATCTCGTAAAATGGGACGGTGAATTTCCTTTCCTAAAGCGGAGTATGAGGGGGGACATTTACGTGTTCTGTAAGATTTGTAAATGTGGATTTAGTGTCTCTCACAGAGGAATGAATGATGTCTGTCAGCTAGGGTTGCCACCTTTCAGAAATTAAAGTAAGGCGGCAGCATGTCGGTTAGTGTGTGTTACCCAGAAAGCAGTTGGGTAAAATATCGCAACACCAACACCGTGAGTGAAACAATGACTGGGGCAGCCTACTCGGGGGACCTCTTCTTTATTATTACACATACACATTTGTAGAATCACGTCCCGTATCGGTTCAATACGTGACGCCGCATTTAACAGCCAATTAAATTATGGGTTCTGTATTTTACGGGATGGGTGGCAACCTCACTGTCAGCATAAAAAATCCGCCAAGCACAAGTGCAGGCTAGAGGCACAGAAACATGCCCAGGCAATGTCGCCATTTGTGACTAGAAATGCCACAGAGGCAGACCAGGTCATAAATGGGGAGGTTAAAATGTCAGTTTGTTGCTGTAGAAGTAGATGAGACCACAGATGTCACAAGTAAAGCTCAGACTCTGTCATATTGCGCTATGTGGCCAAAACTGAAGCAGGTTGTGAGGTGAAGGAGGCGTTTTTGGGCTTCGATGATATGAGTGCAGACTGACGTGCTCCAGACATTGCGGAGTATGTCCTGAAAGTGCTGGAGAAATATGGCTGTGTTGATAAGGTTGTAGCTCAGACATTTGATGGGGCAGCTGTAATTGGCATCAGAGCTGGCGCTATTGCATTCGTCAGAATGCATGCCGGCCGCATGTTTTTTAGAACAGCTGAGGGACTAGGAATGTTTTTCAGCAAGTCCACAAAGCACATTCACTTATTGGACAATGTTGTCAAGTGCTGTTTAGTCAGAGCAGCGCCTAGAAGGTGGAATTCTAATTTTAAGCTGCTGCAGACAGTAAAGATGCACCAAAATGATGTGCGTGCTGTGTTTCATATCGCTATGGAAAATCCTGGTCGCTTGTTTAATGACACGTTGAAGATGGCAGTAGGATACGATCGGTGGCTGTCAAAGGCATTGATTACTGCCTATTTTCACATTTTCAATGAAACATGCACACTTTTCAGAGTGCTGCAAAACAAAGTGATGGACATTGAATTTGTTCTTGCACGCATCGACCACGGTTTCAGTTATTAAGCGCGTAAGACGGGAGTTTGACAGTTTCTACGGCCAATGCAAGCAGAAATGCGGCGCACTTGGTTTGACAGCGTAAAGACAGTTGGTTAGAGATTAACGGAGACGCATTTTGTGTAACATTCTTGACGAATGTTACACAAAATGTTACACTTTTCTCAGTTTGGATTGCACAAAATTCTTTGAAATATTGTGACATTTTGATGACGTGAAACTGCAGAGCCTGTCAAAGTATGCCAAGTTCTTTGACTTTGTCAGACTAAAGGCGAATCTCATTGGACTGTATCGCTCAAAAAAGGTAAATCTCTTTAACAACTTCTCAACTTTTTGGCCAGGAAGGATCTCATTGCAACTGTTGCTGAGGCAACATAGTTGATCCAGCTAGTGCCACTGTGCCAGCTACAACTGTGTCAATGGAGCGGTCATTCTCAGCACTGAAAAGACTCAAAACGTACAGCCGGAATAGGACTGAACAAGGAAGGCTTTCTTCCCCGGCAGTGATCTCTATTGAGACGATGACACTTTTAAATATGAAGGAAAATAAGAAGGACTTTTACCTGAAAGTGACGGATGTTTTTGTGCAGAAGGAGGGCTCATGGACTTAAATCATAAGTTAAGGTAAGATGGCAATAACATTGTTTTTTTGTTTAGTTTTTTTGCCCTAACTGGAGGTTGAGTGGGAGAGTCCATTCATATGATTGGAAGAAACAAGGTTGCTGATCATCCGACTAATAAAACACAGCAAAACTAAAAAAAATAAGTACTTGACAAGTCCCCCATCAGCCAGAAAACAGCACACAGGTTTCCGCATTTGTCAATGCTGCACAAAAATGCCATTTTCTGTGTGTGTCCTGCTTGAATGACAAGCAGACTATTAGTCTTGATGAATTGTTTTCCTTTGCTTTTATTTGACACAATGAGCGTAGACAAAAAGTTCAAACTAATTAACTCTACATGGCTGTGGAAATTGAGGGTTTGTAGTCTCAGTAGGTGTGAGATAAAGAACACAATGAAAGCCAGCGTCATAAATACGCTGCCTCCCCCAGAGGACGACTCTGAATTCTGCAACAGCTGCCAAGGAAGTCGTCCGAGCGGCTCAACGCTTCTTGTAACTGTGATAATTCCTCGGCTTGAGACAGATGGTTTGCGGGCTCCTCTGTTGCTTTGGGCTGTGTCCGGGTCCGGCTTCAATGTGTCTCATGGCGCTCTTTAAGATGTTTTGTGTTAAAAAGAAAAAAACAAAAAAATTGAATAAACGGCGGAGCTTAAGTTTTAGAAAAAATACAAAACGGGATAGACAAAACAGTTTATAGAACTGCATGTCTACACGTGTAGAGATCTGTTTTCTTTTTGCCTCCACGATGTCTGAATGTAATTGCAAGCACATGTCACTTTTGATCAGTTTGCAATAGCTTCTTTCTCTATGAATTACACATGCTACCATTAACGTTTAAGTGAGTCCACTGATCAGGAGCTGCTCAGCTGCAGGACGTTGGCTGCCAGGATGTTTTATAGAACTGCTAAATACGGATTCTCAGCAGAGGGCCTCTTTTGGTTCCTTTACCAGCCACCATTGGCTTATGTTTTATTTTTTATTTTATTTGTTAGTTTTCATCATTTCCAGTTTTAGTGAGTTTAGCCCACTTCGTGCCATATAGCGGCTAGCATGCCACGCTTCCAGGCTAACTGAGAGGACCGTGAGGGCTGGACACGCCTGATCGCCGCTATGATAATCCGGGAAGGTGGGTTGGAGACTATGGCCGCCCATGTTTCCACGAGGAGGGCAGTCCGCCATCGAGCTTTCAAGTTGGGAAACTGTATAACAACCTGTCATCCTCTACCTCCAAACTCAGCTCTCACCCCTAAAATCCCTCTGTCGTCACCCAGCTCATTTATTATCATAAGGTTGTCAAAAAAACCTTTAAGATGCGTCGTAGCCCTTATAAGTAGAGATGTTTAGAACCTTTTGTAACCCATATTAATACCTTCTGGGATTCCCGATTAATTGTCAAGTGATGTTTGTCCAGTGGAGTAAGCAAATAAAAAATAGATTTCAAAAAATGAGGCAACTCTGGACTGAAGCACCCTGAGGGCTGAATAAGGAATAGACTTTGCACTTTGGAGATTGACAATTGTAGGCGCTTAAGTTTTTACTCTATGTAAATGTCAGTGAGTCAGTCTAGAAAAATCACATTATGGTAATTACTGCTATGTCATTAAACCTTAAGCTAATCCTGTCAAAGCACAATGACTTTACTGTAACACTTCATTAACAGTTTATGTATGTTATATTGTGTCTTTGAGTGATTGGAAGTATCAAACATTCAGGTTTC